CGAATTACCCGCAACCTCGAGTGAGAAAACTTTCTCGGCCGTGAAGCTGGGCGCCTCCGACAAAATGCGTGCAAAAGAGAGGAGAAAAACGAGGAAGTCAATTAGACTCGTTACACTGGCGCGTCGTCGATCGGAATGCAGTTTCTCACATTACTATGAAGCGACAATAAAAAATGCAAATATTCGACCTTTTTGGCCGATCGCTTTCTCGAGTTCGATCTCCGCCTAGATAGCTTACGATTACCTATCCATTTTGCGCGATCCGTTAAATTTTTGATGTTCACTCGGGTTAATTGCCGCTCATTCGCTTTCGAAATTGGCTCGATCAATTATATGATCATCATTTTCAAGTAACGATCGTCATTTATACGCATATTTCTCTTATAAAGCAGCTGGGAAATTGGTAGAAAATATACTAGATACTAGAAGATCTTTAATTAATGATTTCTCTATATTATTTTTTTTTGATAATATTTTTCATTTTAAAGGGATGCTGCAATTAACTAATTAAAATTATTTTTACGATTACTCGAAATTTTCTCAGAAACTAAAATAAAAGATAAAACTTCTGTCTCTCTCCAATATCCAAAATGAATTAAGAATAATTTTATTTATTAAACAATTTATTTATTTTAAACATTCATGTTCTATGCATTTCTTCTCTTTGGAATATTAGGAGCAAGTAATTAGTTGTAACATTTATATATACAATTTAATATACAATTCATTTTAATATACAATCTTACATATACTTTCTAAAGATGTTAAAGTACTTATATGTAAGAATCATTTAACAATTTTTGTATATACTTGTAAAAGTGATGAAAATTAACCCGGAACACGAACGATTCAGCAATAAAGCATCAACAAATCGTGTATAAGAATATTATTATAATGTATATAATCCTCTGAGGTATCCGTAATTCTGCAATTATTTTATATAGTCAGAATTTTAGTAGATAATAATTTTTATCTTATTAAATGATGATGCGATGTAACGGTAATTTATGAACTTATCAAAGAGAAAACCGACACGTTTAAAAAATATGGCAAAAATAAACATCGCGCCGAGTGAGAAACATCTATTCGCTGTGGCCAAGGAAACAGAGCAAGTAGTATATAATTGGAGAAGAGTGCCAAATAAAGAATAACACATTTTCTACATAAATTAATTGGAATGTTATAACATTTTTTTGGATGTAACATTCCCTGCCGTCGGAATAATAGATAACTCAGCTGTCGGCTAGCACGACGGCGTGACGGCTCATAAACATGAAGAGAAAATAATGCTATAGTTACAATAATGGATGTCCTTACCCACGCGTGTGTGCACGGGACTTTCTACCACCGTAGCGTCGCCAAAAGCTGCAGCCTCGTTTATTCAGACTTTGTACAGGCGAGGCATTTAATACGCGCCTCGAACTTTCGGGTCGGCGTGTGTAGTATCGATCGAGATCGAGTCGCCGCGTGAAAGTAACAGGCTTGGTCCATCCGATTTTATTTCAGACCATCAGTATACGCAAGCGCGCTTGAAATGAGCAAAATAAAGTAAAACGGTGAGCACAGAGCGCAGCTCTCACTCATCTGCCGCGATATCCGCATTGGGATTGGCGTCAAGACTTATTGCATTTCGCATAAAACATGCAATTGCGTTAAATATAAATTAATTCTATCCAAAACATAAAGTCTTGCTCGTTACATACAAAAACATTAATATAAATTAGCGAGAGAAACAAGCATAAGTATAAGTATTTATTGAAAATAGTTAATACGATTTATTCGTACAATAAAAATATATATATATTAAACATAAATGTACATTCATAATAAAATCATATATTACGAATAAGAACATTTCGCACTCATTGAGTCTTCTTTAGCTAAAAAAATAATTTAACAACATATAATAATAATAATAGTAATAATTGTAATAATAACAGTAATAATAATCAATAAACTCAATAAAATTCAAATGCATATTCAAATGATAAAATAATTAGCTTCTCATATAAAACTTATAAAAGATCATCAAGAGATAATCTCAAAAGCTGGACATATAAAAATAATCGAATAAGTAATAATATAAAAAATGATATAAACACTTTAGTACAAAAAGATACATTTCTTTAATAATCATAGGAGTAAGATTTGAAAATAGAACGTGATTCGTAAAAGATTGCATTGGGCTGCAAACTAATTTGTCGTTCTCGGGAAAGAATACGTTAAAATGTGGTTTAAAAGTATTTGATGAAATTGTCAGATAAAACGTCCTTACTCTCGCAACGTCCTATCTCTCGGTTAATTTAGTCCGGAATTTGATGTTCCAAAGATAAAATTAAGAAGAGTTAATTAACTCGATCCATACAGCTAGCTGCTGTAAGAGATAGAAAACAAAATTAATTCTCAGACTTTGAATACGATATAAAACATACTTGAGGAAATATTTTAGAATCATAACTTCACTTCCGCAGATAAGATTTTTTTACAAATTCTTGTCAGAGGAAATATATGAGAACGAAGTAAAAAGACACGGCTGAACAGATACCTATATGAGCGTACTTTCGTGAAACTTCGAAAGGAAACGGTCGGTGAACGTTTCTTATCTCATTCACACGGTCTATCGACGCGCCAGGCCTGATGCGAGCAGACAGATCACGAGATTTGCTTCCGCTTTCCATCGCGGCTGGCACGCCTCATCCGGTTGATCGACCGGACATTGCCGTGATCCAGATCTCTTCCGCTTTCCGACACTATGACCGTCACTCGTATGATTTTGTGTTATTCGCGTTAAGATGATGCTGTACGAGAGAAAATTTTAACCGTACAAATTAGCGTCGCACTAGAACGACGTATAGAGCAACGACACGCAGAAAGGCCATAACGAAATTAATTACTGAGCACGGGATTAATTAGTAGTGACAGGGGATTCGCCGGCAGAGAAATGTAGCGCACTGTTCGATAATCTCATAGAATTTTAAGATAGAGCAATCACATCGTCGCATCGATGCATCCATAATTTATGTCGGCTTCTTTCATATATTAACTTTCTACGATTATCTAAAACTTCTTATGATGAGAATGTATTTTTATGAGTTTAAAATTTATTTTTTTACTTATTATTAGTGAATAATTAATTAATTTTAGACGATTTACATGATTTATGTTCAGAATAAAATAGAAATTTAGTTATAATTTTATATACTATGTAATAGTTATTTAATGAATTATAACAATATCTATAAAAATATGTATGTTAAAATATGCACGTAACTGTACGGCATAAATAATTATCAAAATAACTTATCAAAATCAGACGCAAATTTTTAGATCATCTATATAAATGAACTTTAAACATATAAGCATTCAATAATGTAATTAAATGCATTAAGTTTTAATAACCAAACATTAATAGCGTAATTAAATGCATCAGGTTTTAAAAACCAATCATTGGTATAATTTATCGATATTCACGATATTGCTGATACATGGAAGTACAAAATAAAAGTTTCCTATTGTACGTGCATTAATTATTTGACTCATGAAGCGTACTATCTTAATGACATGGTACACCCTTAAAATTGCCTCTTCCATATAAATTTCCGCATCTTAATCCACTAGATTTTCCTGTACATTGCAGTTTGTGATGACGTGTATATAATTACGTTGAAAGGAACACGGTAGAAAGAAACAGGAAGCTGTCTCTCATCGAACGAAAGTAAAGTACAAAAATAAACACAAAAGGGAAACCGGTTCGGGTTACTTACACTGGAGAGAAAGGAGTGCAAACATCAAAGGTATAGGCAGTATAAAAGATCCTTTATATCATTAGTGACTACAAAACGCATATTTAATATTGAATCATATGTAGGTCGTAAACACATAGATCGGCATTGTCAGATTATAGCAGATCAGACTTATAATCAATACGACATTGTGACTTTTTAGCTTCAGAAAAGACTCTCCAATTCTTTTGCAAGGCAGACACAGAACTTTGCGTTCTTCTCACGCGTCTCGTAAATTTTAAAAGATTAACATCTCCCTCTCCCGTTTTTACGGTAACATAAAACTAGCGACATTCGCCGCTAGTATAAATATAAAAGGAAGAAAGTACGAAGCTTCTCTCTGGATGGAAAGATGATATGAGTAATCGTATTAAGTGGTGATCTTGTACTTACACCCATAAGCAGGCCTTTCATTTAGCGATTGCTAAAATAAATCATTCGGAATGTCGGTACCCATTAGATTGTCAAGTTCTTATTTTTCGACTTGCAACTATCAATAATGGTAGACGGATAATATTAATTTGAGCACAGATTTTGTTTGATTTAGCGAATTAGAGAGTGAAAGTATAGAGACGGGATGAGTAAGCGGATTTCTTCTGTTTTATAATATGAAGAAGAAATTATAATTTAACTCGATCTCGTAATCTTCTCATTAGGCACAAAAAAATATAACGCGACATCATATGAATATAATAAAAAGTCAAAATATACAAAGTTAATTAAAAGATTTCTAATTCTGTACTTTATTATATCCTTTAAATAAAATTAGAACGAAATAAAAATAATAAATATGAAAAATTGAAATATATCAAACAAAATTTAATGTTTCAATTTTAAATTTATACTTATACATATTATAAATATTTTATTTTAAAAAAGGATTTAATATTTATATCTTTTAATAACGCTCTTACTTATAATTTAACTTTGAATGTGAAGCTTCATAGTTTTAAACAATTCGAAAATTTAATTACAAATTTAGAGATTTAAAATTATTTAGTGTATGAGATATTTTTCTACTTGTATCGCCACTTACCTGTAGGTATATCAAACTGAAAAAAGGAATCAACCAGAACGGGTAAATATCGTTAAGTTTTTATAAGTGGGATTTATTTTATAATCTTAAAATTAAAATCGTAGATTATTTACTTGTAATTTTGGACTATAAGTAAAATAAAAATAAAATAAAACATTCAACATGAAAAACTGAGTGTAAACTATTAACTTAGCTGTGTATTTTCGTAAATAATTAATACATTATAAATGTAAAAACAAAGTTTGATATGTGGTGTTCTATACAGTTGTTTAGTTTGCTAGGACAAGAAGTCGCGTCAATTCAACAACAAGAAATAACAACAGTGCAACTTATACATAATAGTATCAAATCAGTTTGAGTGTTTGCTGTATTTTATCTTCTATTGTTTTGCTCCAAACTTGCCGTTGATCTCATCTTGCTGCTGCTGCTGCACCTGCTGATCAGAATCGTAAGCGGAGTACTGATAAATGTACGATCGAGTTGTCTGAGGAGCAGTAGTAAAACCCTCATTCTGATAAGAACCCGCTTGATTCTGATAGGTTCCATAATTCTGCTCTTGCTTGTGGCCTGTCTGACTGTAAGTACCGTCGTAATTCTGTGACGCGTCGTAACTGCCGTATTTGTCAGTTTGACCTGCCAGTCTTGCGTTGGCCGCATGAGCGCGATGATTGCTGCCACTTTCAGGCGATGTATACGACACTTGGGAGTGATTCCGCGATCCTGGCTTTCGGGTATTTGAGTACTTACTCTTACTCGAGGCCCTCTGAGTCGACGAACTCTGCTTCGTACGTTCCCTATTGACCTTAGGGATTCCGACGGAATCGATCACGTAGGCAGCAGCGGCTTTGTTTCCCGCGTCTGGAAGGCTCACGTACGACGCCGCGTTTGAATTGTAAACGTTCTGGTTCTCGTACGATCCACCGTACGATCCATCATTGGCACCGTTTAAAGCGTCCCTACTGGTGTCGTAGGTGTTGCCGACTTGTTGCTGTCCCAATAGATTCGCAAAAGCTTGGCTCGTCGTCTGTTCAATCTGTTGAGTGTTGACGTATGCAGTAGACGGCTGGTAATCTTGATTAATTAGCTGTTCTACGTTGATGACTTTATACGTCACTTTTGGCGAAGATATCGGTAGATTCTTCACTTGAACATTTTGCGCGAGTTGATTGTACGGATTGGCCGCTTTATACGTGCTGGATTGCACGTCAAGGTCCCGTGAGTTGCCGGCTATGTAGTTTCCGCCGTCCACGAAGTGACTCACCTGTGCATCTTGGCTCGTCTCTTCTTTCTCAACCTTTTTGTCCTGCTTGTCGTCTTCCGCGATGGGAACTTGCGGTGTCTCTTGATAAAAGACACCTAGGAACTGCGGCTGCCCCTGCGGGTGCCCCTGCGGGTACACCTGCGGCTGCGATTGCGGCTGTGGTTGCGGCTGCGATTGCGGCTGCGGTTGCGGCTGCGATTGCGGCTGTGATTGCGGCTGCGGTTGCGGCTGAGACTGAGGCTGTGGCTGCGCCGGTGGCGGCGGCGGTGGCGGGAACAGACCGTGATTGAAGTAATGAGTGTAGTAATAGGGCGGTTGATAGTAATAGTTTGGATACGGTGACATGGGATTCACCGCGTACGAGGCAGGATATGAATTATAGGCAGGATATGGCGCGTACACATATAAGTCGCCACCGTTATAATACGTGGGATTGACGAATGAGGATGTGCTGTTTGTGAGATACGGATTATAATTAGGATTATTGTAAGGATCCCTTTGATAATTGTTGCTGTAGCTGGAGCTATAGGTGTCCTTGGCGTCGACTTTCGGCGCGTACAGTTCCGATGTTAATTGAGTGTTTTCTTCTGTTTCGGTGCCTCGCTTTAGTTTGTGGTTGTAAGGGTACTCCGGATATGTCGGAAATGGATCATTATTGAAATTCTCAGTTTTATCCGACCAGGCGAAAATTGCTGGTGATAGCAAGCAGAACAGTATCTGTAATAAATAATTGTATTTGTAATAAAATAGAATTGACAATTCTACAATTATGCTAATTAAAAATAATGTACACTTTCAATTTTGTATTGATAGGAGATATGGATGTAACTACTTCGTAATATTAATTAATAATATATTATAATAGTGTACTGTGTAATTGCGTAAAGAAATGAAAATATTTATCAGTAATTATAATATAACTTTAGAAACTGCATTTAAATTAATGATATGATTAAAGTATTGTTTATCAATTTATAATTATCTTCATGCATACCTACGCATATACAAACGAAATCTCTAAAAATTAAAATAAAAGTATGTTTCACATTTTAATTTCAAAATTAAATACATTAAATCTAAAATCGTTTTAAAACATAACAAATTTTCCTAAAATGCCTGTCTGTAATTCCCGTGCAAAATAAATTAGACAATAAACTTAGCGCTAAGTACATTTATAGCATTAAATTAAATATGAAATCTTCTTCATTTAATTAATAAATTTATTAGTTTATTTCGTAATTTATAATTAATTTATTATTACTAACCAGCTGCTTCATCTCCGCCGTCGGATAGCTGTGAAGCTATGTTTCTTCCGTCGTTTAATTGCTATCTCATCCAACACCTCGTCCGCACTAGTAATTTCGTAGATCAGACCGACACGACAGTTCCACCTTTAATGACACATCGACCGGCATTGAATTTCTCCTTTATACCCGAGCACCGGAAAAATTACGGAAACTAGTTTAACATTTCTCTGCTCTTATGTGTAGGCAACTGGAAGTGATAGTGCACGCCTCGACAGTGTATGGCAGTGGGCTGTAACGTTACAAAAAGTTACGAAAAACCAAGTTATAATTTTAATGCTAAATTAAAAATTATGTAAAATAAACATTTAAAGCACTTGTCTTTAAAATTATAGTCGCTAAAGTAGTCAATTTATTTTTAATAGGAACAGAAAATAAAAAATAAAAGAATTAAATTAAAAAAGTTGGTAATCTTAACTTACTTCCGTAAAATATGTTTTTGTTCGAGAATTTCTCAAATCTAAAAGTCTATATGTGTCCTTTCATTTGTGTGTATGAAAGAAACAACATTAGAAGCATTAAAGATTATAATATAATCATAAAATTTAAATATTAAATATTAAACTAATAACTTCATAATATATCGATTTTTCATATACGGTTACCTACGTATCTTGAATTTCACAATGCTTTACAGCTCTTTAAAAAAGGATACTATTACATTCTACAGAATGTTGTCTGCTTCAAAATTGACCTACATTTTTTTTGCGCTTGTTTATTATTAAGAAACTCATTATTAAATATTTCATTTTAATAAGTTCACTTGAGTATTTCAAGCTAAGAGATTGTTTTTTTTTTAGTTAGTATGATTTTAAGAAAATATATTTTGATATAAAAAATTTGACTTGCGCTTTTAGCGCTTTCTCGTTTACTATTAAAATTTTATTAAAAACAATATGCTTTTTTTCAATAAACGCAAATATCCAAAAATATATCATGAACTAGATAAGGTAGGATAAACTCGGGTATGATGGCCATAGTTTTTTAAAATGCAAAAAACATACATTTATTCTTATTACTTTTTAACAATATTTGAGATATTACTTTCACTGAAACTTAAAGTAACAAATACTATCGAAATTAAAGAGAAAATACTTAACAGAACTTTAATTTTATAAAAATATTACAAAGTATTCATTGGCCATCTTATCTAATTTTTAGGGAAAAGATGGCCATAACATTAAGAAAAATAGTATTTATAAATAAATAGTGAAAATAAAAGTATTAATTATAAGTCACATTGCAATTTACGTACCTTTATTGAGTATGTAATGTTGATTATGGCAGCTGAACTGTAATTTATTAGACATTAAAACAGTTTTTAGCAGACACGTGCAAAACTTTGCAGATAGTCGAAAGAAAAAATATTAGATAATTTTTATAATATTGTTATTTTGAACAGTGTACGCATACGAACTACTGTAAATATTGATTATCTTTAAGAATGACTATAAAAATGCACTATTTATCAATTGTTGGAGAAATTATGGCCTATGGCCATCTTTTCCGTATGGCCATAATACCCTAGTTTACCCTATCAAAGTTTAGTTTTGATTCCATGGTTTCAAAAAAGATGCAATTTGATAAAAAAAATTTGACCTTGGCCAAGAAAAGCACCTCTGTAATATATTTTACAACGCATGAAAATCCGAATTGAATCGGTCGAATTGAAAAGGCCGAAGAAAAAGACGATAGCCACTCGAAGCGAACGGACCAGGAAGTGGAGCGCCCTCCGGCATCCTCGAGAAGGATCTTTCCAATCTTGCTCAAACAACACCTTTCGCGACTGTACCTTTGAAAACATCGATTTACTTCACTTTCACCCGTGCACCATCTCTCACCGACAAAATGTTCTTATCAAGCAGACCGCATCTATGATAACAACATTTGAAATGGACGATCGCGACGATATTCGAAAAAAAAATCTTGCCATCAATTTCTCTTACCTTAGAAAGAGATATCATTAAAGAAAGAGATATCATGGAATAACTTAATATCTATTGGTGCTTTTCACTTGTGTATCAGGTACCAGAATATATATCTTCAATAAAATATAATTCATTATTATTTAAATAATACAAATATTTAGTGAAATTATTTCATAATTCCATGATATATAATACAATATCAGCATATATAACATAATTTTTCGAACTAAATATTAATTAAACAAGCATCAATTAAAAATATATAACGTTTTTCTTGCGTACAATTAAAATTTATCAAATACCGATTTTTCTTTTAATAAACATTTTGAGTGAATTTAAAAAATCTTGTATCACACATATCGTCGAATTCTAAATATTTTATTGCATCTATTTAATTACAAATTCTACTTCATCCGTTTAACTTTGAAAGTATACAGCAACAAAAGCGTTCCTTTTTATACATCTAACTGCTGCATTACCTTTCGCACACGTTCGCATCTCATTCAACTTACTTCACTAGAAAAAAAGTCTCGCGTTACAGGTCAGTACGTTACGAAAGTGAATCTCCCAGTTGTCTGACAGGATGGGGACTCGCAGTCCGAGATCAAGTCAAAGATGCGTGACGGAGGTCCGCCCGGAGGAACGTCTTTGCGAAGAGTAAGAGCGAACTTTTCCCGCTCTCGCCGTACCGGGGCGTGAGATTGAGACAAGCCTGAGCGTGTCTCGCAAAACCAGTCAGAAAATAGTGAAAAGTTGTGCTTTTTGTATTTGCGAGACAGACCGGTTAGATCGGGCATATAGCAACGACGTGGGGCGTATATCTCGGCTAGATTACACATCTGAAGAGCTAAGACCTCTGCCATGCGTGCGGCTCTCTCGTGTGACTGATGTCATGTTGCATCGTGTCGTGCTGCCCTCGCATGCGTATGTAAGTACACACGTACTCATGCATATGAGTCACAGAAAATGGGTCAGGTATACGAAAGGAGCGAGTAATACGCGATTGGAGCGGTTAACCAAAGTCGCTTTCTTACGCGTAGGCGACGAAGTATATCTCTTTGGTTGAAAACTTGATTAATGTAAATAAACTAATTGCTTTGTCGTGTTAGTAACTGAATGACTGATCACGATTTCCATCATGATCTATTAATCATCTAGTGATCGGGGGGAGGAGGAGGTAATGTCATGTTTTATTAATATAAAATTTATATTAAATTAAATTATGTTAAAATGTTTCATGTAATGTGTTTGGAAACGTTAAATGTAGTTTAATAAGTTATTGTCTGTCGCAAATTATTTTATATAATTTATAAATTTTGAATTATAAAATTATATATATTTTATAAGTTTTAAATTATAAAAATACAAGAATGATAAAAGAGAGTAAAATTATTTACAGTTTTGAGATTCTTATTAACATTTAATTATTATTATTTTTATAAAGATGCTTATTAGCATCAACAATTATTAAATTGCTTATCAATTTAATAAGTGATATTATTACTGTGATTTTGTTCACGATTATGTTTTAACACTGAAAAATTTTGGCTTGCAATTTGCAGAATCAGATTTATATAAATTCACACAGAAATGTTTAAGCATTAAGATCCGCTTAGACTGAATATGAAATGCTATTAACAAGAATAATGAGTTCAATAGAAAAATATGACGATCAATAATTTCTAAAATAAAAATACTTAATTGGTAATTATTTTACTAATCTTAGATATTAATATCAATAATTATAATTTTATAACTTCTTATTTTAATTTAAATGATATATTGAGCTTTAAGTAGCACTTTTGATGCACAAAAGAATAATATAAACTAGCAAGGCAACATATAAATTATATTTATTAAATATTATTTTAACAAGCAACACAGAAATATCATTTTATTATGCTATGTAATTTCGTTCTCTTTTAAGATTAATTATTTTATAATTATGTATCCATATCTCAAAAAAGAAAATAGGTTATACATATATTATTATTATCAATATCATTATCAATTTCCATTATATATGACATTACATTGCACTTATAGATAAATCTTAACCAGTCAATCTTACTGTCTGCAGCTGGCAATCACTTTCCAAAATAAAATAAAGGTTTTGAAAAATATCTCTTACTCACCCTGATCCGTCCTGGCCTTGGAGTAAAAGCGATCCCGTTCTGTTCGTTGGACGGACTTATGCTTTTATTATATTTCATGTGCGGTTATACCGTTGCCGTTCGTGCGATTAATAACTTTCACAGTAGCGCCGCGGGTAAAAGCAACATTGGTCGTTGTTAGATACGTCAATTTTGATGGACAACAATACTAACGACAGGATCCATTCAAGTATCTTTTGATACGCGTATTGCCCTCCATCGCGCGTGTCGAATCAATTACTCAGTATTCGCGAAGATATATTTGTAAACTCGAACACGCGAAAGTAAACCAGCACTCTATATGTTTTAATTGCAGTATGAATTGAAATAATTGGATCAAAATTATATCTTATTTGTCGATTTACACTTTCACTTTTCCGATCTCTTTGATCATCTTCATTACTGTGCGTGTTTGATCTTTATTAAGAGACAAAACGTTGGCGTACAGTCTTATGCACGCCGCACGCAATATGCAACATGCAATTTATTGGTATATAGTATATAATTTTCGTGACTCTAGAAACTTATTTGAACTCTTATGCTATTCGAAATTTATGAGTCGATCGTAAATATCGCTAAATTAATTGCCGATCGTTAATTGTTATAAATTTAATTAATTGTAATAAACTTAACATAACGATAATACGATCAATTTTCAAGATTTAAAATGAGTTCTCTGGTATTCGTTGGAAAATCAACTCATTTATTACAAAAGAATGTATAAAACTACGTAACAAAAATCACAATTGTCAGTGATACAAAGAATAACAGGGACCTACTACAATACATATGATATAAATATAGATAACAATTAGGTATTTGAGTACAATTACAGTACAGAGATTTCTGTCCCTAGATATAGATCATACAGTAGAAAATTTAAATATAAATATTTATTCTATTGTATCTCAACAACATACATGGTTTTCTACTTGAGAAATACTATTGCTATTTTTCATGGCAAGACCGAGTCAGCATAAGATTAGATAATTAGATGGATTCGGCGTTTAATTACTCATTCGTCGAGATCCAAACATGGATCTTGAAATCATAATCCTAAGCTGTTATCGAATCCTGACAATGTGTCGGGACGCAGAAAGATTTACAAAACATAAATTAATATTTTCCGTTTGGAACTGAGTACGAAATCGTGTCATACTTTGCGCCACCTAAGTCCGCATTTACAGTTTTCTCGGAAACGTATCCGATATATCTCGGACTTACGCCAGTATGAGTGCCTTGCGAATCCGCGGATGTCCCGTGGGAACTGGACGAGCTATATATTGTGGGCGTATAGCCGTGGCTTCCGGTGTAAGTTACGACGGGGCTGGAACTGGAAGCTGCTGCGTAATTTGCGCTGAGGGTATAGCTGGGACCAGCGCCGGAGTAGCCGGAACTGGAAGAACCCACATGACTGATACTCGGACTCGCATAAGAGGCACTGGGGCTAGAATAGCTGGTACTGCTACCGGACGAATGAGACGGCAGATAATTCGTGTACGTGATGGTGTTGGACGATCCCGAGTTCGAGTGAGATCCTGAAGTGATTGGTAGCTGATAGTTGGAACCACCGGACGAAAATCCGGAATGAGTGCTGGAAGATCCTGAAGTAACGGGATAACTGGACGACGCAGCACCAGAGGACAATGAAGAGATTCCGTGAGATCCTGAGCTAATCGGAAGAGAATAAGTGGCTCCTTGAGTACCCGAAGAGCTACCAAGGGTAGAGATGCCGTGAGAAGATGTAGACGGGAGGCTGTAGCTGGAGGGGCTGCCGTGCGAACCGCTAGCGATGATCAGGCCACCTGTCACGGGGTGCGAAGAACTTGAAGATGCGGAATGAGTAGGAAGACTGTAGCCTGACGAGGCGCCCGATGAGCCCAATGATAGACCATGTTGTTGGTTTGACGATCCCAGTACGAGCTGAAAACCAACGTTAGATCCTCCGTTGCTGTAAGCCGAGAGTCCGTGGCCATTGGTAGCGTAGACCGGCGCGTTGTGCGAGTTGGAACTGGAAGTACTTGCGGCACTGCCACCATGGGCTCCGAAAGTAACGGGACCTGTTTTCGCTGGAGCAAATAGTGCGTTGCTACTTCCGCCGCTTCCCAGATGAGCTATGCTGGGCACGGAGTAGGTACCTTGAGCCGAGTGTCCACCCAAAGAGACACTTTGGTGACTCAAGTGACTGTGGCTCAATCCAGGTGACTGGTACCCGGATCCAAGACTGAGACCGCTGGACGGCGCTAAGGCATATCCGATTCCATGGCCGACGGAGCCGCCCGAATTGAGCAAACCGCCGTGTCCTAGGGAGAAGCCACCGGACGATCCACCTAGCTCGTAACCGGAACTCAAGCCCGAAACGGGAGACGAATAGGAGGAAGAAGATCCCGACGGGAAAGTTATCAAGTTGTCGTTGATGCCGCGTTTGTCCTTCAGCTGCAATAGAAGCTGAGTTGGCAGATTTTCATTGCAGCAGACTCCACAGGCGAAAGCCACCAGAAACACCTACACGATCAGATCAGTTGTTATCGCACTTCTTTATACATCACTTTCTAGGGTGTCCCACTTTCGTGCAATTGATCAGTTTGCGTGAAAGTGGAATACAAAACTACAATATTAGCCAATTATATTAAACTGTTACCCGAGTTATAATTACAGATGAGCTATGAATAGTTACGTTAATTGAACAAAAAACAGGTGGTAAATTCTAATTAGTCAGTGGAGTAGATGAAAATTAATTGGCTGATCTAGCGCATTATTATCACTGTATTATGAGTTGATAGTCGATAATTAATGCACGTGATACGTAATCTAACTATGAGTGGTTACATGATAACTACATCGTATTAATTAATATTGTAATTCAGTTAATATTCGTGGGAAAGTATTTAATCAGAATTTGAAATAGATGAATCGTAATTAATACGAGTGCTTTGAATTTAACGTAAAATGTGTAAAATATTTTAAATATCAATTTAAGTCGTTATAACTAATTAATTAAACTAAAATAGTTCAATCTCAATTATGGCTAATATATATATGTATCTATGTATAGATATATATATATATACTTAATAAATAATTATTAAGAGAAAAGCTAAAAGATCTAAGCAGTTGTATACGTAATTAAATTTGTTATATTAATTAACTAACTCTTATAAATATTTCACTATAATAATAATTTTATTAAAAAATAATATTTTTATGTATATCGTTGATATTATGTTAATTTTAATATTCCCGACATTAATATGTTTAATCAATTTAAGTACATATTCCTCAATAAACAAAATAAAAATTAAAATAAAAGCGAGTTGCAGAGTGTTTTATATACTTAGATCAGTATACACAATCTGCGGTCTACGAACTGCATGTGGCTTATCAGCGAATTTTTTCCGACTTGCCGAAATAAATGTTAAAGATTTTACCTATTTCTAAAAATAATCCTCTAAAAACGACTCTTAAAAAAGGTTGCACTGTACTAAATAATATAATTATTGTAATATATTAGTAATATAAATAAAACTTTAACCTATAACTTGTTATTGAAAAACAATATAAACTCTCTTTTGGAAACCAACCAAAGACGAATAATAGATGTTAAATAATATTAATTAAATTTAATGTGTTCAATATATTAAAAATTGACGCGAAATTAGTTTCGACTTACATAGTCTTCATCATTTGCTTATAGCTACTAATAACATAAGTAGTTATAAGCGACTGATAAAGACTATGTAAATCAAAACTAGTATCGCGTCAATTTTTAATGACACGAAACTTTGGTCGGTTTTCAAATATAGTTTATATTGATTAGTAATATGCTGTAGATATTAATTGCAATATATTTAGTTTATTAATTTTTGGACACTGTATTGCAAATTTAAATACGTTAATATAAAATTATTACTTAATTATTTACTAGTAACATCTATTAAAAATTAAATGATAAGTAAATAAATATAGTGTCTATATCATATCCACTAAATGAAAACTTAATAAAAATTTTATTTCTTAAGTTATTATATTTTACGTTAATTATAATATATTTATATAAATTATTAAACACACACATTATATCTTAATGCTTTAAAAGCAAAATTTCTTGGAAATTATTTAGAAATAAAAAGTTTAAAAGTTTAATGACTGAACATCACTTTTGTTTGATAGTTTGTATAAAAAGAGCAATTATACAGTTGCAATATGTACAAAACACACACGAAAACACAAAAATGATCGGTACGGAAATTAGAACTGAATTTTCGCAAACACTTGTGAAGACGTGATACTCACAATAAACAACATGCTTGCCAAAATGGGGTTGCTGTTGTAACTATCTCGTAACTTAGTGGTAGACGAGTGGTTGAATGATATTGTGGTCTCTGATGCCATTGCTAGCAAGAAGAAAGCCTTTATACATGGATCCCCTCTCGTACGGTGAAAGAAAGGTCTAGGTGAAGGTAAATATCCCCTCGCTAATATGTCGAGCGTCGCATCGCATCGTCGCCGTTTGGCACAGATAGTAGTCAACTGCAACGCGGGGACTATTCACATGTGTTTTGCAAATCAGACCCCACTTGCAGGTGAAAAGCGGACCAATTCGATCCTTATCGACCGCAATTCTTATAATTAGTTGAAAAAGATAATTTTAAATTATAGTTAAATTATAGTAATTGTAACCATTTTTATGGTAATAATAACTATAATTTTATAGTCATTTTTTGTTACAAGCTATACATATTTGTCGATAGAACTATACATATAATTATTATCATTATGGCAGTAATAATCATAATTGTAATAACATGTAATTATAGTTACAATTATCAAAAATGTTTCCCTCAATGTGAGGAGAGGAAAAAGAAAAGACTCAAAATTCGTTGGCGAACAGTGTCAACTGGGTCAGCACATAAGGGGCTCGAAACGATTTTTTGCTTCTCTTGCGTAACAGATTGAAATTTTGTCCTCTCGCTTCTTGTTACCCCTGCACTCGCAAGACATCTCGAGAAAGTGTACAAGGTCAACCACCTTCCGCACTTTCTGTCCGGGATATTTCAATTAAAGGCTTTTGTTTTCTTCCTTATACATTTCTATGAACGATATCACGTAATATCCTTGCTCTGAAATCGAGAAAACCTCGGAAGGCCGGGTATAATAGTAGGATATGCTAAGCCATTTTTAATTACTACTCTCTGCAGAACCGACGATCTAATTTCAACGTGATAAGAATTACTATTGTTTCGAGCCACTTCATTCCACCTTTTTTTTCGGAATATTTTACTTTATTTTATTTCCCAGTGCGATTAATTACTGTAGACAAGCGGAAGCACTGCTTCGTCAAGCATCGAGAGAAAACGCAATTGTTTGCTCGGATCGTAGCAAGATATCTAGTTTATTTTATATTCTTCACTTTTAGTTTGAACTTACAAGAGGGTCATCAAATCTAACATTTAAGATCTGTTTTCTGTAGCTGAACTAGTGTACAGTTTTAGAACTTAAAGTGAGATAGATATACGTTTGATATTTGTCGAAAGCGAGAAAGAGAGTTCAAGAGCAGTCTAGTTCAGGAACAGAAAATAGACCATTAAATTCGTTGAAGTACGTACCGTTACGCGTAAATCTTAGCAATTATCGCTATTAATTTATTTTGATAAGAGAAAGGCAGACTTATTATATTATGTATGAATATGTATTTCCAGAACTGTATTGTTTTCCGATATTCTTAATTTCAGTGTTCTTATCCAAATATGTATGTATGCTTCCGGACATTTAGTTCCTGGTAACGCTTCTTCATGCATGAAATAATTCCAGAATATATGGTTTTCTGAAATGTTCATTATTTGCATTTATTTTCACGATTTATTTTAGTTAATAAAATCTACTGTTAAACATGAAAAAGACCATATCTTAGCACGCGTACTTTTTATTTAATTTATTTTTATATACTCTTTTTTTATCTAGTCTTCAGTCTTTTTATCGGCCTATTAAAGCTAAACTGCTTTGTGCTATAAAATACAAAACTAGGCGTATCTATCTAAGTAAGAGATACAACGAAAAGAAGTAGATTTATTGATACCATTATTTATTATAAAAAGTTGGAGCTGAATCTCAGGCATTTTAAACAAAGCAAAATATTTCACGAAATTGCGAGAGTTCCTTAGATTTATCATGTCTTTTAACAAAGGAACTTCCTTCCAAGTCTAGAGAGATAGAGAGAATCTTACTTTTAACATTTACTTTAATTTTACTTTTAACCCTTATTCTACAAGTATAGGTCACTGACTGAGCGATTCCTGTGCGTGCAAGTTTCTTTGAGTCTTTCGGTAATTATAAATTATACTACATTTTATTATTTTTCAAAATGAAGTTCCAATATTTATTCTAGAAAGTTGAAAGTATGTTGGTGAATTTTTAGAAATTTTTTTAATCATTCTGAATAGATGAAAAAAACGAACCGATCCAGTGATCCCCGTTTGTATGAATGAGGCACCAAATTGTATTCTTGTACGGTAAGGGTTAATATTGATTGCAAGAGAGTGTAAGGTCAACATCACAGTGCCGAGTATTATGCGCGTGCTTCGTTCATCAGCCTCTTACATAAAGTGTAGCATGTACTAGCGAGAAAAAGATGTTAACGCTCACTGAGAAGTGTTCTTAGGCTGTGCAAATGGAAAAACATGAGATATTGCTACACGTTAAAAGCCGATTGACGTTTGAAAGTAAAATGCGTGCGTTTGGGGAAATGAATGAAAAAGTTACCACATCTCGTTTCTCGTTTTTGCGTCTTTATACGATAAACATATACAAAGTTCGAGCATGTTTAAGAATGAACGCAGCCGTAAGAAGGTAATTGCGATCATTCTCTCATAGCATTACATCTAACTTGTTCCAACATGTTAAATTATAGTATCTGAAAACATTCGATTGTTTTACTTTCACTAAATGAAGAAAAGAACCGTTGCTTGTGGCTATCATCCAATTGAAAAGACAATGAATTAAGGGAATTCTGACAATTGTCGCGGTCTACTTCCGAGAAAGAGAAATAAAAATAACAAGATGTATACAGTGCCTCACTTATTATTTTGACAAAATTATATTTAAATTATATATTAGCAATATTCTTATGCTATTTTACATAACTCTGATGTATAAATATTAATTTAGTAACTTCTTTATTGAAATCTGAATTTTAATTTATATATATATTAAAATTTAAAATATGGTATACATACTATACTGTATGTATTCATACAGGCTTATTAACATTTAAGTTTGTATAAATATGACTTGATGTTAATTAGTAATCAAAATCTGCACTGTATGTAGATAGCTTCATCGAGAATTGCTTTGCTTATTATAGTTAGTGCATATCTATGCATAACAGAGTATCCTTGCACGTCAGATATTATCGCAGCTTTCGTGTGCTGCGAATAATATACCTGTCACGTCGTTAACATCTTGATAAGAGCTAAGTACAGCGCACGTGCATTATTGCGCAAGGCACGCATTAAAACGAAACATAGAAGACATTGTTCCGCAAACATCATTTCATTCGACAAGGAAGTGCTCTTTGTTAATAATATTGAATTCTTTTGGTTAAATTTAATTTATTTGAATTTAATAATTAATCAATTTCTACAAATTTAATTTTTAGTTTTTGTGACTTCAATTTAATTTAGTTAAATTTAAACGAATATAATTTTTAATTTAAATATAAAGTATAAAATATATTTATAGAGTTATATATATATATTGTACTTATTTAATTTATATTAAAAACCAAGATCATATACATGTTTATTTTAGAAAAATTATTAGGTACGTAAAAATATTTATAAAATTTGAAATTTTTAGGAAAAATTTAATAATTTTATAATTTTATTTAAATAATATAAATAAAAATAATATTAATAATTATTAAACTATTAATAAAATTACTATTAAAGTCTAGAAGAAAATTGATTCTACTATTTATGAAGAAAACCATTTAGAACCATAACGCTGTACGGAAATACGCGGATACGATGAATCATTATCCTGCTTCATGTGTGATTTCGAATAAAGGATGTCATCTTAAAATAGCTTTCGCTTTTCGTGCTTTATCATCATTTTATTATAATTTTCTTGCATCGTCATAACTCCTTTTCCCACTCGATGTAACTCTTTCATTAGAACATATGATTCTTTAAATCCATTATCTGACGATACTTTGGTCTTTTACTTTCTTGTCATTTAAGATTTTTCTTCCTTTTTTTCAGATTTGTCAATTCCTTCGCTTTTCCGGTCACTAACTTTTTCCCGCTGCTTTCCGCTTTTTTATATATTTACAAATCTCTTTACATCTTACTTCCTCATCTTTCTTGCCGATTTAGTCTGATCATTGCCGGAACTCTCGCTTTCTCGCTATTTGAAACTATTTTAAACGGCTAACATTTAACTATCCACAGTAATAGAAACATATTGGACAGAAAAATGTGAAAACATCTAGTTTGCGTATAACAGAAGCAATTTATGTATCTGACGATGATTAGGATGTAAGATTTTCCAAATAGGGTCCAGAAAGCGTGTCTGAGAAACTCTATACGAGTTCAGAGTAAAATGACAAAAGTGCATCAGCGGAATGAAATGGAAACCGGACAGTAGAATATAGGTCACTTGCGGAAAGTGAGTTGACAAGTTTAACGCGATAATCCTACTAGGTTTTCAGGGTCAACATGCACTTTCGATTTATCGGACTCGATGCATGCTTGATCTGTCAAATATCGTTTGCAACTACATTTGTGGAAACTATGTTAAAATTTGGATTTGGTAACGGTATGATTTAATCACGCTTAGAAACTTTCTCGAAGATATCGTCTATAGTATTGATGTAAGAGATGCAACGGACTATATATATATGTGTGTATACATACCGCTTATTTGTTATAATAACGGTACAACTTAAAAAACAAAACTTTTTTCAGAAAAATGGATGTCAATGTTTTCAAATACTACAAAATTTATTAAAATTTTTTGTAATATTTTTGTAGTATTTTTTGTAATATTAGTTTTGAAATGCAATATTGGTATGATAACTGATTATAGAGGAGAAGATGCATTTATGTTCTTCTTTCTCTTTAAGTTTTTATTCTTTTTCTGCAAGCCACTCAAGAAACTAGCAAATGAGCGATATGCATGTAACTGAGTGATCTACAAAAATTTACTATAAGTTACGCTCGCTGCCTCCCGTAATAGATGGTTTCACAGATTTTATTTTTATTTTTTTTAGATGAATTCGATAACTTCTTTAACTTTCTCTGAAACCTATAAATTTAGCTTTTTTCTAAAATTTTGTTCTATTTCCATATCATAAATCTATTAACAATAAAAAGTA